TTTCTACCTCCTCAAATTGTCATAGTTTCCTCTGTTTTGGTTTCACTGGAGCCGATTAGAAATTCTCTTACATAAGAGCATGGAGAAACTGGCAGACTTTTTGAATCTTCAGAAAAAAATCATCAAACTAGGTGTATTCCATGTATATAGTCCAAATGGAGTTGAGAGCTTTGCTCTGCATTCATCTAAAATGTATTATTTTTAAGGTGGACTTGGCAGGTTGGAAAACAAGCGCAGCATTTCCAGATACATTGTCTAGAAAATCTCCAAAAGGCAAGTAAATCGTGAAAAGACACAAGCAATGAAAGGCAAAAAATATCCAATCCGAATCCATTAATGTGGACCTATTACTGGAAAAATATTGACTTCTTAAAATTTTTCTCTAAGGGGTCGGACCGTATGGACAGCCTCTCAGGGGAGAGGGGTGGTGTAAGCCTTAAGATGAAGCCTTAGGGTTCTCTTGGAAGCCCTTTGTCTAAGGTGATCTCCTTAGAAATTCCTTTCCCTACTTTCCCTCCACATTCTCTGTCCTCCCTCAAAAGGGAGGCTTCTAGAAAGTCATCTTCCTCCTCCTCTTCCATGAGGATGATATACGGTCCTAAGAATTTGAACTTACTATCTATACTTTGACATATTGACTATTTGAAGGAGTTAAAAGAAATGCTTGCGAGGTCTTGCGTGATGCGGTGAAGGCTGTAAAGGCCCACTTTGCGGGCACGAAATCAACCCTAGGCGAGATCCCAATCCATTTTGTGGTCCCGGTGACTGAGACCACAGGTGCTATCTATTTCCATCAGAAGATAATACGAGAGTTATTCAGCGTCCGTTATACAGGTTGTGCGATCCAAACGGACTTCCGAAAATATTTCGGTAAAAATGAATATCGCTTCAATATCTTCCTGGACATTATTGCAATTGAGAATTCGATGGAGATTGGCGATATAGGTGTACGAGTGAAGGTTCCATCATGGGCAAATATAGAGACGAAAGGTACTTACTGATTTCTCATGGATTGCAGACGGGCTGTTTTTTCAGTGATCTCACTAACCACTCATGTAAATTTCGAAGACATTTACAAGATGGATTCAGTTCTTCAAGAGTATTCGGGATGGTATGTTCGTCCGATTAGTGTTAATCATTATTACTTAACGACTGCACAATCTTTGTAGGATCAGGACTACCCTACAAGGGTTGCAAATCAATGACGTTTTTCTGCTGGATGACACAACTGTTCAAGAATTGTAAGTGCTACTAACCAACTTCCTTCTAAATACACCACATTTTCAATGTTTTTGAGTAAGAAGGGATTCACATCATCTTGAGCTCAAAGACCATCATAGGCTAATTTCGAGGGTTTTGCCCAGGCGTTGCCTGTATTTTCTTCCTTATTCTTTGTTTGATACCATTGGTCAAATTCTGCTTCATTGCCGATGTCACTAGGGGTGGAATTTGTCAAGATTACATCAAGATCGGCTCCCCTGTTCGAGAAGTTACCTGATCAGGAGCAACTTCTTGAACCCCCTAAGGTTGCGGTGATGATTGGGTAATTTTCCAAACAACATAGGGTGCAAGCGCATGCTGATGCATGTCGAAAACGTTCACTGACTTACTTGTAGCGTTCTATTTTGCAAAAAGGTTCATCTCTCTTCCCATCTTTACTTCATGTTTTTCAATGAATGTGTTTGCGACGTATAATTAGTTTTCAAGTGCGTAGAATGTTCTGTGTAGCGGAGGTTCTTACCAACAGCCATTAAATATCCAAGCTACTTTTCGAAATTCCCAGTTTCTTACCTCAATTGTTCTAGGTCGCATCTTCTCGTAATTGTACAAAGCTGACTAAGATAGTTGTTAGAGCTATTGTGCCGAATTAGTAACTCTGAGAACTCCAACTCAATTTGCATATATTTTGTAAACCTATTAATTTTCTAGTTGTTTTTCTTTTTTGCTATAAGCTCGTTATGCACAGTAGCAAAGTTTCACGAACTTTGTATTCGAGGTTGATCTCTAGTAATAGACATTTTTTT